TGTGATGCACGGAACAGAGCTGGTCTTCCTTAGCCTGCAAACACGCTGAAGGAACTGAGCACCAGCGATGCGCAGGCAGGCAGCCAGCGTCGGTAGCTGTAGGCACCTCTTCCTCCCTCCCAGCACGCACGCAAACAAGACCCCATATAGTTAAACATTTAAAGGCCTTCATTTTAATGGTGAAATCGTGCGCAGGGGTCGGCGGCGGCGCTGGGATTGGTGGCGGCGGACGGCGGCTCCAGGTGGCACAGGCTGACAGCTGGGTCACATGATGGTTGTCAGCGCTGGCTTTTCCACCCCTCTGCCTCCGCTCTCCCGGGCTCCAGCACAAGCATCCCGTTGCTTCCAGGAATGTAAAGGCTGGGGGTGCAGTCTGGAAGGAGGCCGCGTTGCTTTGCCCCCCCGCTTCTTGTCCGAGCAGGCTGAATTCCCGACGGCCGCGGCTCGTGGAGGTGCAGGACGGCAGCCACAGTTGCCAGGGGACTTGGGTCATGAGACTGAACTCCGATCGCGTTCGCTAGAGGAGGAGGATAGATGGGATTGACATGTACGCTCCAGCGGCTGCCAAAGCAGCACTTAGGTTTCCGATGAATTAGATAGATCTTCTCTGCAGCAATACACTGGAAGAGACAAAGGAGAGGGGAAGACGGGCGATATTTACTTGAGCAGAAATCCCGGGCTGTGCAACAGAATGGAGGGGCAGGATTTGGGTTATGAAACTCCAGGGCAGTGCAAACGCAGCCTGGTGCGAATGCCTATATTGCGCTTCAGCGAACTGCTTCCTTTAAGGTGGTTTTTGTGATCCTGTTGCTAGGATTAAGCCTTTTGCATTGCGGCATGGAGAGTCTTTTGTTTGAGTTAAATTCAGACCTCTTGATATGTCACCTGACAGTCTTGTGGTTTTGGATGAATGTGGCTCATTGCTATTATTAACCTGAGTTGGCAGCCGGGCACAACAGGAGTTTATAGGGATTTTGAAAAGTGGAACTGCTCGGGGGACAAAGATGCTTCCCAGGTACGGTCACTGCACAGTTCTTGAGATTATTTTAATTATTTGAAAGCTTAATATTTTCACTGTGATGAAATTATTTCTTTTCCAGAGATGTGAAGCTTCTAGAGATTTAATTTTTTTATGATGCTTCTTCTAATTATGTGCTGAATAGCACAAATGTATTTTTTCCCCTGAATTGGTTCTATCTGTTGTAATTTTGCAAAGGGAAGTGCGGTCTACTTGAATAATGTGAAACACTGTGTTCAATGCTAGTGAATTTAACTGAAAGGAACCGTGTCTTGTTTGTGTGTGTTTTTTATTAAAACAGGTATTTCAAAAGAGCACAGAGCTTGTGTGTGTGTATGTGCACATGTTTGCATGCACATATGTGCTTAAATCAGCTAAAAGCTGAACAGGTACTTTTTGAAATGACATATGTGAAGTAGTCCCAAAAATATTCTATGAAATTACTAATACTAATTTTAAATTCTGAAGCTGTGTAAATTGCAAAGTTACTCAACATGCTACGCGTCTTTAACAAAACCTTCCAACCTACTTATTTTCAATATCACACTCCAGATTATGATTAATGTGTTGACTAGACTGCACCTAACCTGTATATATTATGTCTTTTTGCTTGTGGAAAGGCATTTGGCTCATGTATTGGACTTTAGAGTATAAATTAGGTATCTTAATGAGAGCCAAGTGGCTTGGTAGAAGGGAGGAAAAAAATGAAAACAAATTAAAGTCCGCTTCATATACAGTTAAAGAATTGGACAGAGCCAAGGACCTTGGAAGCCAACTGAAGTTTAGGTCCAAGTTTATTATACTGAGTGTGAAATACCTGGCTGGCTGAATATGTGCCTAGTGTACAATATGTGCTTAGTTTAAGCAGCAGAAGTTTCTTGGAGCTCAGGCAGTGCAGCTATTCAAGGTGAGGATTGCTAAGCTGGTAAATGAACGAGACAGATTTATAGATGTAGCATGGAGCTGACCTCTGTGGTGCTGCAGTGCCTGTGGACGTGTCACCCTCCTTCAAGAAATGAAAAGGGGGCGGCTTGGATTTTTTTTTTTTTTAAAGAAACATTATTTCCTTGTGATAAACCTTAAAAATGTAACTGTTACAAGCAGTCACCCATCATGAGTGGTTGTCCCTGAGATGATCCACTGTCTATCAGTTCTTCCAAGCTACCCAGAGTACAGGTCTGTTGACTTTTGCGAAACCCCAGCTGAGGTCAAAGTGGCAGAGGGCAGCGTCGCCCAAAGTGATGGGTAAACTCCTTCGCAATTGATCGTCACAGGCTCCCTCCGTGGCCTTGGTCAAGTCACAAGCACCGGTTTTCTCTGCAGAATCAGCAGGTGTTCACCACAACAGTCACACAACCCTGAAGTGACCTCAAGTCTTGTAAAGACAATTATCTTGCAAAATTTTTTCTAAGTATAGGCCCCGTGGTTTCTAGTTTAGGGATCTTCTTCCTCCTCACAGCCTTATGGTCATGTTATGTCACCAGCATTTAAACGGAATCTCTCGCTGAAAATGCCAACTTTGCAAATTGGCAGTGCAGTCTGGATCATCCTTATCATGTGAATCCTGATGAAGTTCTTTTGCGTTTCAGGTGTTGTTATTAAAAAAACCAAATAACCTGCCCATGCCTCTTTAAAAAAAGCTAATGGATGGTCTTCCAAAGCTGGAAGTATCGTTAACATGCCATACATGGCTGTTTTCAGAACGAATTTGGAAGCAATGCCCTTTGAGAAAGGCCTACACAGCTGTCTGTAAAATACTGGTCAAATAATAAGCAAATTCCTGAATTGTAGTAAGAAGCTATTAAAATACATAAATACCCTCCCCTTGTGTCCTATATACTCAACTTTTGTTGTATCTTCTCAAAGTCAAAAGAAAAAAAAAATCCAGTAACAGATAATAGAAATGTGCAGAGGAAGGAGAAGGGAATCCCTCGTTGGAAAAAGCATCTCACTCAGGGGTGAGAGGAGTATGATATGATGGTTGGACTAGGCAAGGACCATTTCCCTTCTGCTTCTGATCACCTTTCCCTATAACAAAGCAGCTGCAGGATCCTAAATACTACTGGGCTGTATATGTACAGGTGAGCATGCTTTGACGTGAATGTACATCTCCGTGGAACGTGGAGATAATCTGCATCTGAAATACCTCAATGCACCCAGTGGAACGGTCTCATATTTACACCGTAAGCTCTTCAAGACAGGGGCAGTCTCTGTCCAACGGCTGTGTAGAAGTTGGCTGGGTCTAAGCACCACCGTAACAACAATAGGACTTGAAGAGGATCATCTGCGGGAGTTGGTGATAAGCCCTGGGGATCCCTATGCCTCTGTTCTGATGCTCATCTTAAAAGGAGTAAAGCAAGACGTTTCCTTCCATGCGGAGCCCTGCGAGGAGGGCATGGGGCAAGGTGGACCTGCCGTCTGCTCTGCCCTGGCTGTTCTGTCAGCCTTTTGAAAAGGTGCTAACATGAAAAACACGCAGAACAGATAAGCTAGCATAAACTATAAATATCATTTGCGTAGATGCATTTAAAAATAGTTGGAAGTGATTCATCACCAGGCAGTTTTTATAACTATGGGTAACATGATGTAGGAAAACAATAGTTTGACTGATAGTTTCAGCTTACTTTTTCAATGATTAGTCATTGTCTGGTTTTGAGCAACTTTACTTTTTAGCAAACTCTTTTACAATTCCTACCTGCTTAATATCTCGATTGGTTTGCTTCAGTTGCTTTTCTTTAAGACTTCTAAAATACCTGTGTTAATTATTAAAAAGTAACTGGATACTACCTAAGCTGTGTTAGTGTGAAATTGTTTTAAAAGTAAAATCTCGGGCAGGAGGAAAAATAGTATTAAACTGAACCCTTAATGTAATAAAGTGCTGTTCGTGTTGTAGTGGAAACAAGGAGGAAGGAATGTACTAGCTTTCAATTACAGGGGAAAAATCTTGTATTTTAATTGGTGGAGTGGTAACGAAGGATTTCTGTGTCTGTCGTTTCATCTATTAAAACTTGCACAGAGTGTAATAATACCAACTTAAAGCCATTCAGTTGCCTCTTGCTGAGAAATGTCTGTGGCAGTAATAAACTCCAGGAATTGGATACATGAGAAAATCCATCCTTGGAGAGAATTTGGACTTCTGGATTGCCATGCAACTCGCAGTAGAGATGTCAGGAAGCATGTAATGGATCTGTAAATGTAAACTACAAATAATACTCCTGCTGGTTGAATGTAAAAAAGGCAGGAAAACAAAATGGGTGAAAGAGCAAGAAGAGCTGAACAAGAGCTAGGATGAGAGGAAATGGCCTCAAGTTGCGTCGGGGAGGTTTAGATTGGACACGAGGAGAAATTTCTTTACCGAAAGAGTGGTCAAGCATTGGACCAGGCTGCCCAGGGAAGTGGTTGAGTCACCATCCCTGGAAGTATTTAAAGGACGGGTAGATGAGGCGCTGAGGGACATGGTTTAGTGGGCATGGTGGTGTTGGGTTGACGGTTGGCCTCAATGATCTTAGAGGTCTCTTCCAACCTTAATGATTCTATGATTCTATGAATAGTAGGGCTTAAGTGTGAACATGCATTAAAATATCATTTTTCAAGCCTTGATTTCATTATTATTTGTTTCTAATAATTTCATCATCATTCATGTGGAAGTTTGCCTTTCTGTCCCAAATAATTCCTTTCCCTTTGTGCTTTCTGCTTGCATTAGCATCTGTGCAGGGGGGTTGGACCAGGTGACCTCCAGAGGTCCCTTCCAACCTCAACCGGTCTGTGATTGTGTGAGATCTGGTTTATGTGATTTGTTTCTGAAATATCCCACACAGCATTTATACGTCAATGGATTTCTACCCCATTCTATTCGTATAGGTATTTCTGAATATCTCATTCTAGAAGAATCACTATTTGTGTAGTGAAGATCTCCACAGGACTGGCGTTCTGCTCGGAAATAATTTGTTTATCACTATTTCTTCTCTTGCTCGATGGGTGAAGTCACAGCACTAGCTGTGTGGCAAAGTCACAAACGCTTCCACTGGTGAAAAGATTGTTGGGGTTTTCTTGGTGGTGGTTTTTATGTTTGTTTGTTTGTTCTGGGTTTGGTTTTGGTTTTGTTTTTTTTTTCTTTAAATATAATCAGTTTCAAGGAAAGATCAAAGAGTGGTAGATGGGTCATGTAGGAAAAAGGCCTCATTAAGAGAACCGTCATTTCCAGAGCAGTGTGGGAGATGGGAGACTCACCTTTCATTAACATTATTAGAACATTTGATTCTATGTCTCATGGTTCTCCTATAAGAATGTCAAGAAAACATCAGTTAAATGTCAAAGTTAGTTTCCATTTATAAACAGAACTAATTATATTCAGAAGATCTAGGTCAGTTTTCGTCCGCCTGAAGAGCAGCGCTGGAGTATTGCCCTGTTACATTTGTTTTGCAAACATGCACTGCGTATTGCATGCAGGAATTTGTATGTTTCTGGGGATAATCTATCCGGCTATCAAGCTTAACGGTATTTTAAAGCTGCTAACAACAGCAAAGCTACTCTGTGTCCTGCTTCCTCCAGAAAAATGTGCCTCGCTGGGAGGTGGTGGGGGTGAGTCGGAGGTGCCAGTCTGCCTCTGTTTACTGTCTGTCTAAAATGAACTTTCCCCCAGCTCTCTTAAAGTTTCTTCTGGTTTGGGAAGTGGCCCGCTATTGCCAGGGAATGTGTTTGCAAGGCTGAAATGTGCTTAAGGACTCTATTATGTAACAGAGATAACGCTTATTTGGAATTATCACAAATTATGGTGGATAATATCTACTAAATGCTTGTCTAGCGAAAGTTAGACTGTCATGTTAAGAAGCTGAGAAGTAAACAAGCTCTTGTTACCTTGATCAAATATGTTTCTGAATACAGCAAGAGTTTTATATTTAGCTTTCTCTCCTCTCAGTGTGTAATCTGCTCTTGGAGCTTTTTATAAGTAGACTTTCCTAAGATCTGGAACAGCTACTGCCCTTCTTTGCCAGTAATTTCAAAGTCAAATATCAAAAGTGCTAGGTAATGGAAGACATGCTTTTGTCTGAGTGTGAAGGAAATTCAAACGCGTTGCAAGGGTGGAGCAAGCGATAGCACCTTTTTGGCAAGTGATTTGTTGTTATGGTCACATACTGTTTCTTTATAGGAAGCACAGTGGCCTATCTGGAAACAAAATGAGTTTCCAGACTTCCACTGATTTCACTTAAATATAAGGAGATGGTTCCTCCAGGAAGCCAGTGTATCCAGCGGTCTCACTTGCCTCCTCACCTCTAGCCAAAATCAGGCTCTGATAAGTAACTGTCCCCAGCTCTAGTGCCTTTGAGCCTCTCAGTTGATAACACTCCAAATATACGTCAAACAATATGGATTTTGTTTTCTTACATTTTCTGAAATGCAAGATGGGGCTCATTAGCAGAGCCCCTGGAAAATGTAAGCTCTGCTTTGACTTTGTCACTGTGCTTGGTTTTCGGTACAGAATTTGCTCAGTTGGCAGTCTGCTCTTCGTGTGGGCATGTCCCTCTCTGGATGATGCCTGGCTTTAGGTCCCCAAGCAGAGAGGGTGCGTGTCTCTTTGCCCCCAAATCTACACATCAAATTATTTCAGTTTCAAGTTGCTCAAGCTTTCTTCTTGTAATAAGTTGCTTTTGACATTTGTTGCACACTATCCTCTCTGCAGCTTCTGTTTTTCTCTCCTGTTGCTAAATGGTGGGGCTGAGCAGGTTAGGAAATGGATTTCCTCTCTCAAGAGACCGAGTAACTGTATGTCTTGGTGCCTAGTTTCACCTCCCTGGGACTACACTAGTTGTAAAGCCTGTGAATCTATATTGGACAGCCTTAAAAACTTCTGATAGGCAACCATGGCTTTGGTGATCAAATTGATTCTCTGCTGTGACCTATTACAGAAGTTGTTGGGTTACAAATTGTCATTGTCACACTGATCATATAAGGCATGGGCGCAGAGAAGGAAACCTTTTGGCTGGTCAATTAGAGGGACAGAGGAGAGGAAAATTTACCATGGGCTTGGAGTCTAGCATGCCAGGTTTACTTTAATCCATATTATCACTTATGGGTGTCTTTTTGCTGAAATAAATGTACAGCTCCTTCTTGTAAACTGGGAGCCTGTGTCCTTCATTAATGGCTGGAAAGTTCCAGGGCCTCCTTTCTCACTTCTTGGGGTTTCATGCTAACGCTGCTTGCCTAAAAGCCAAGGATAAGGAAGGTAGAATTTCACCTGAAGATCGGAAATGGCTCACAACTAGCTGAAAGATGATTCCTGTTGGTTTTATGGATAGAGCAGGAGTCTTGTTTCCTACCTTCCAAGAACTGAGAAGGTATCAGTGCAAATGGATTCCCAAGCCCATGGGCAGCAATGCTTGTTGGGCTGTAAAGTGGTGGCTGGCTTTTTAAGATGGAAATTTAAGATGATGACTACAAAGCACCCTTAAAGGCAAGATTTATGCAATGGCATTCAAGCCTGAGCCCTGCAAATTCTCCCTTTGCAGAACTCCTCTGAATTCAGTGGCACCAGGGAAGGCAGAGGCTCAGGAAAGCTCCTTTCCTTGTTACTGACTGCAAAACCAGTTTGGGAATAGCTGTGTTAGAAGAGGACTGCTGTGTGTGTTTTGCTGACGCATGCAGCAGCATGGCCTTGAATCACAGTGGCTTAAGTGGAGATTATTTCTAAGTCTGAATGTAGTGAGGACCTGAGTATACAGTCAGGACCAAACTACACGTGGCTCTCTGTTCCCCAGCATCAAAGCATATATATTAGTATGAATGTTGTCGTTTATAATACTGCAGTTAGTTCTATACTCCTATGTTACTGCGATGTTTGTGAAACCTGAAGAAGGGTAGCAAAGGTACTTCGCATTTTTTCAGCAGTGGAGTTCAGTGGTTTGCCAACCCATGAGGCTGAAAACCCATGACTGCAAATGCAGAAATTTTTTACGTAAGGGAGAGGCCAGTGTGAATATATACCTTTTTTTCTTTTTGCTTTTGAATTGTGAATGCTTTCAAGCTAGTGCTTGTAATGATGAGGGACTCCCCCCCCCCCCTTAAACAAAGCTAAGTTCTTCTATGACTTTGATTTTAAAAAGCTGGAACTTGAAGAAAACATTAAATATCACAGGACAGAGCACAAGAGCTAGTAACGCTGCGCACATCATTGTATATGGTTGTAGCGGATTGGTGCTGTTTATGCCAGTGTAATTTGGCAAGTGTAGAGGAAAGAAAAAAACAAAAGGCATAGTTCTGGCTACAGGATCAAAGGGTTTGATGGCATTGCATTTGCTTGACTTTATGTTTTAATAAAGTTGTATATACAGATAATGTAGAAAGAACAGTGTAATAAAGAGTTGTGGTAATTGATCCTTCTGCTCTTTTATTTTTTAATTAAAGCTGGCCTTTGCCGGAGTTTGACCCAAGTCAGATCCGACTGATTGTGTATCAGGACTGCGAAAGAAGAGGACGGAATGTCTTATTTGACTCCAGTGCTAAAAGAAAAATAGAGGATGTTTCGGTGTCGGTGAGTATTTTACTAATTTACATGGTTATAGCCTATTTTTTTAAAACGGCAAGATTGATAAATCACAAATGTTCTGTTTTATTCACATTAACATTTAAACGTCGGTTATATGCAGGGCTATATTTAAATGCCAGTTAAGTTGCAAATTTTTCAGGCTTCAGTGATTTCACTCTTAACAGCTTTAAATACTATAGTGATCGGTTTATTCCTGGGCTCGTCTACTCTCTGCTCTTTCAGAGGGAAGGATTCCTTCCTGGGGCTGCAGCAGGCAATGCTGGGGGGCTGAGGCAGGGCATAAACTGGTTAGTTATGGATGTGCTTTTATGCCGTGGTGGGGTCTGCATTCTTAATCGGAAGGTCCTCCCAGTCCTGTGTCCTGTTTGGTTAGCTTTTACGAATCGTTGTTTCTATGCTTTGCTGACAGTTTTTTCACACAGTTACTTGAAAACTTTTCCTCTGTTTTTCCTTTTGGCATGGTCTGCATGGTAATCTATTAATTGAAACTGTAATGGATGCAGTCAGATGGGGATACTTCCTTCTAAGGGCTCTGGCCAGAGGATTAATTTCTAGCCACAGTGCTATTGTAAGTGGTTGTGTGAGGTTGGACAACTTATTTCACTGCTTTGAACTTCCTTTTCACCATCTCTAAAAACATCTGCAAACCATTTTAAGCTCTGCAAGCAGAAAGCACTGTGTGAACTGAAATTTACGATCCCAGTTGCTTTTACCCGTAGGACCTACTAAGTTCTGTAAGCAGGAGGACACAAAATAACACAAAATAACCAAGCCCTGGTTTTCATGTTGGGTGTTGGAGTACAGCCAGAGGATTCTTCATCCAGCTTTGTAAACTCTTCCAGCCTATTGCTGAATGCAGCCAGCCTGATGCTTCTCATCCTGGTCCTCAGTGCTTCCTATGTCTGCATATCCTAACCTCTGGGAGTCCGTTTGTGTCTCATCAGGCACTAACTTCCAGGCTTCTCCATCGCTTACTCTAGCGCTTTTAGAGCCATGAATCAAGATCCCAATTTTCTCGTTCTTTTTGAGAATTTGTGAAGTAAAGCAAGTTTCACAAATGTTGAACAAAATGCATCTTTCTTTTTAACTTTAACTTGTTAGAATGGCTTTATAATTTGTAAGTTCCTGTTCTTCTAGGTGTTCGTGCCAGGAAAACAGGTTTTTAAAGACAGGAGATCTTTAGAAGTGGTTTATTGGTGCGAATTGCTGGCTGTGTTTATTACTATTACTTCATTAATTATAAAGTATTACTTCATTAATAAAAAAGATGTTATACAGTATAAATCCTCTTTCTCTATTTCACTTGATTTCTTGAAAGCCTAAAACCTCTTTTAAAGAGATCTGTACTTGCACAGTGAACTTGCAAACTTCACTGTTTTGGTTTATTTCAGAAAGATCGTTGACTGTGGCAGCTCAACAGCAACAGAGTAAATGGCTGATAATGAAGCTAATATGGTTCCATATTAATCTCCTTTATTTTTCTTTGTGAAGGGGGAGGGAAATAACTGTATTCACCGTCTCTATGAAATAAGTATGTGAGACTGATGGAGGAAGACTGTTCCCAGTGTGTTTGAAATGCCCAGTACTCATCTCTAGTAACCTGATACATTTCTTCTTTTTTGTGGTATTAGGAGACTTCAAAAGAGAATATGTTGAAACATTATGTTTGCCATGATATCTGCCTTCTGCAGCACTCAGATAATGTCATGTCAGGCAAAACTTTCCTCGTAAAACAAAACTTTACAATAGCAGAAACATTATGCAGGTAAAAACGTGCAGAAGAGTCCTCGGCTGGGCTTGCTGCGAGCTTAGTACAGGCTTGTACAGTTAGCAGTACGTACTGGCCATTTTCAAGGAATTGCATTGTTTATTTTTCTTGCTCTTTATCGTGATTTTCATTAACAAAGACACACCCTGCCTATACAAAGTTAGATCTTGGCTCTAAGCACATTCCAAGGCACTCTTGCCCTTTTGCAGCAAGATGTGTGTGGGCTGGGCACTCTCCCTTCTGAAAGGGTATCTGTTCACCACCCCACAAAAGCCAACGCTTTCTGCATCTCCCCCCCGCCCCTCCATTTCCTGACATGATTTATACCTCTGGATTTACAAATAACACTGAGGGGGAGATTTGCAAAAGTGCCTAGCAGTGGCCAGACTGTTCTGGTTGAAGTCTAATCAGTCTAATGCGGAGAACCGAGAGGGTTTCAGTTTGCTTTATGTTGGCGTGCTCTTCAGTTCCCATTTTCTGTTGTTTTGAGATGTGAAAGCAATTATAATTTAGGAGTTGTACGCCTGCAGCAAGGTGAGATAAACTTTGCTCTATTTTATGTACCTAATATCTACATATGTCAAGAGTTGTGTGCGGTGGACCGCACACAAGTTGAACATGTCTCAGTCATTTGAATTCTCTAAGGGAAGGTATGGTTATAAAATATAAGGAGCATCAGAGCAAACTTTTCCAGACATAGGTGTTTCAAGAAATAAAGCAGTAGGCTCCGACTTTTTGATGAATGAAAACTGCCGAGTTTGTGCTCACACCAAGCTGGGCTCTAATTATTAAAGCATTACTAGGTTCATACTATCTGTGAGGGAAATGTGATTATAACACAAATCAGGATTTTGTGTCTTCATTGGATATTAAAGCAGCCTCTTCATGTCTTCAATAAAGCTAAATGTTAGGTAAACAAGAATTTTGGGAGGGTATTGCACAGAGACAGACAGAAGGCAGCTGAGAGTTTGCAGTATGCATTAAAATATTTCAATTGCGCAGGATAAGTGATGTTTTCCCTGGGTCTCGCTAGAGTTAAACTTGGGGAGCAAAGCCGAGAAGCAGTTTGGTGACTCAGGGGGCTGGTGGCCGCCACGCCGGGAATGTTGGCCGAAGGCTGTGCCAGGCATTTCCACCTAGAGAGATCCGCCTTAGGCAGCTGTGGGCGCTTGGCACGGGGAGGAGGCAGAGAGATCCCCTTTGTGAGTCCTATACCTTTTTTGGTGCTAAGCAGAAGAGGTTCTTCCCCGGCTTTCCAGGGGATGGGCTATTGATCAGCCGGGCTCTGTAAGCAGAGCTGAAAGACTTCCTCAGGAGTGTCAGAAAATTGGGTAACTCCCCTGTCTGAGTTCTGCCAGGGTATCCCAGAAGAGAGTGGCTGCCCTTTCCAGCCCTGTGACACTTGGTCATGAGCAAATGTATCAGAACAGGCGTTTGCATATTGAGTATACCAGGACAGCATGTGATACAAGAAGTAGACATTACTGATGCCTTTACTAAACAGCCTTGGTCCACACCCAAACATCCACATCCTTTGGATTTTTGGGTATCAAAGAACTGCGAGGAAGCTCGTGGGTTTGATCCACTGTCTCCTCTAGAGAGTTACTTCAGAGTTTGTTCCTCATACTAAGAAGTGTCTCGTTTCTACTGAGACTGTATTACTTGATTTGCAGGTGATGGTGTTACGACCTGTGACTGATTTCTACTAGTAGACTCATTCTGTGCTTGTCTGCTCCTTTTCCTCTAACACCTCCCCGCCTGCTTTCTGCTGACGCGTACCACCAGCCCTGCTCACCTCCCTGCATGGCGCCTCGTGGCTGTGCGAGGTCCCGCACACATCTACCCCGTTGGGTTGTACTGAGTTTCCCAGCCAGGAGCCGTGTGTGAACACAGGTATATTCCTCCAAGAGCTGTGATACCAGGCCTGGTTTGAATTTCAAATCAAGCACGATGAGCAGCTCCTTTTCCTTTTTAAGGTGCAGAGGCCAGGTGGCCCGGCCAGTGCTGGGCTTTCAGCCTCGGCTCTGCCTTTCCTGACCCCTGTGTGCTTGGCTTCTCAACCTTGACACTGCTTTCACACTAACCTTAGGCGAAGGCTGCGTTGTATTTTACTGTGCTGCTGCTGTTGTGCCGCACATGAGTTATGTTGCCATAAATGTCAGTGAGCAAAGGCCAGCTGAAGTATGAGGAGTTTTCCTCCAAGGGCCAGCAATTGACTGGGATAAGGATGCCACAGAAATGGTGCCATGAGGGAGAAGTGGGGAGTAAACCAAAGAAGAAGCTGGGAAGGGGAGCCTTGCGTCAGGGCTCTCCTCAGAGCAGGCTGAATGAGTTCAGGGATGGGGGTTAGCTGTCTCATTTAACTGCTCGTTTTCCTTTTTATGTTGTCCACTGGTGACTTACGACAAGACGGCGGTTACCATTTGGGATTTGGCTGAAGAAAGGTGCTGATGTACGTGTAAGAAGCTAAAAGATTTCCTAAGTCTAAAGATCAGCCTAGAGGAAGGCGCAGGGTCCAGGGAGGAAGAAGCGGTTTCAAGGGACCATGAGGAAGAGGAGGGAGGAAAGAAAGCAAGAGCCAAGCTGTGCACTGTGCTGAGCGGGGATCCGGAGTTTGGCTGTGAAGGGAGAAAGACAAGGAATCAGACAAGGGCAGTGGCTTGTTCCCAGGACCCAGAGTCAGAAGAGGATTTTCAGAAGCAGGATTTGTTTTGTTTTTTTGAAGAAATGAAAGAGAAAGAGTGGCCTGGGGTACAGAATTGGAGATGTGGAGGTGCAACAGTGGACTTGGATTTGGGGAGTGAAAAGTTAACTTTTGCCATGTAACCTAGTTGTCTTTGTCTTTGGGATAATTTAACTGAAAGGTCATATGATGTTTGATCTCCTACTGCGGCAATTTCTTTCACTCCAAATGTCATATTTATCGCAAAGGAGAAAAATGGCATGCTGTTTTAAGCAAGCCAGGATTAGCCACGTGTTCTAATATACTTCAGCACCGGATAAATGTTGAACAGCAAATAGCTTTGAGGGATTAGTAATTGGATAGTGAGCCTTTTGCCTTTAGGTGAGTTGTGTGAAATGGAGACTCTGGTCTCTATCTGGCTCTCAGTGGACAGGTTCCCAGTGAGCCAGGCTGAGCGGACCCATAAAGCTGTAAGCACAGAGACCAAGTCCCACCTTCTCAGCTCTGCTTATTCTCTCTAAACAGAAATAGAAGAATACTAGCGGAGTGGGGGAGCATAGGGTTGTCTTTACTTCTTTCACTGACCTCTGAGTAATAGAGGAACTTGACAACTCTGGAAATAAAGGGAGAATGTAGCACTTGACAGCTGCATTTTAAGAAAGATACCTGGATTTTTACAGCAGCACTTGAAGGGAAGGAGTGAAAGCCTATTCGGGTTACTCTCATGTCCTAGGTGGATGCATACATTTAATTACACATTCAGACCG